TTAGGTGCTTGAGAACTTAGATAGAGGGGTGTAGTCTTGGCTAGACCGATAGTTTTAATTTCGCATTTATCTCGGTTAGCCGGCGTGATTAATTTTAGAAAGGATTATTTACCCCCCTCTAGTCCGCCATCTTGACCCTACACGTGCCAAGTGCCCTCCCCACCCTCAGCGACGCCTCTCTCATCCCGACAACCGAGCTCCCCCCCCCCGGTAGCCATGATGCTCCTCGCCCATCCCCACCGTCACCGTCGAGCCAAGCCCGGCATTGGTGACACCGGTGGTAGTGGTGTCAAGGCGATGTAGCTACTCGCCATTGCCTCTCGACCCCGACAACCAAAATCGACCGATCTAGCCTTCCCTCTCCTATGTTGCACATGTATGTTTTAAGTGTTTGAGCGCTTTTAGATATATGTTGCAATTGTTTTATATGGATGTTGCAAGTGTTTCAGAGGGATGTTGCAAGCGTTTGTTCAAAATGTTTCATCTATTTCTAGACGTATGTTGCAATCGTTTTGATTTGGATATGTTGCAATAGTATGTTCCAAAATGTTTTATTTGTTTTAGTCTTCTGTTGCAGCAAGTGTTTTCATGTTGCAAGTTACAAGTGTTCTATCTGGATATTGCATATGTTTTCACACATATGTTGCAACTGTATGTTCTAAATGTTTCATCTGTTTTAGACGTATGTTGCATTCAAGTGTTTGATGTTGCACGTGTTTCATGTTGTTCGTAGAATCAGGAGGCGCCGGGAATGGGGCGCGGGCGAGCCGATGGTGACAGGGTGTGGCTTGTGGCGCTGGGGCCCGGCGGATCGGGGCACTGACGGGAGGAGAGTCTTCAAGGGGCGGAAGGATGGGGATGGGGGCGGCAGTGCATGGATGGGGCGGGTCAGGAGTTGGAATGGGCGTGTCAAGCGTGCGGACGAGTGTGCAGATAAGCATGGTGAGGTAGGGGATTTTTTTATTTGTATATTAACGTTTCAGTGGGAATTTGCACTGTCCGACGCTAAGCGTCCGGATCGGAAGTCCGGGCGCTAGCAAACTCCGATACTGAATTTCTTCCTAGTTTCTACCACCCGCATCAGTATACACTCTGCAATACGTACAACGGTACAAGCATGTGCATCATTTGGAATCCTCGCGAGAAAGAAAAATGTACAGCATTTGGAAGCGCCGTGCCGCAGCAGGAAACTACTGAGCAGCCGTCCAACTATCCAAGAGTGATGGGTATCCAGAAGACCAGAACAAAATATCGAAACAGCCAGCAGCAGGATTCCTCAAAGATCCCCAAGGACCAAGGTCCTTGGATGGGCAATCTTTTGGAAACGTCATAGAACACGACGAACGGATAGCTCCAGACGGACCACTGCGTTGGCGCTAATCGATACCCATAGAGTACAAAGGAGGCATTTTCTGGAGTGTTCCATATACGATGACGAAACACGCACGCATCTGCCTAGATGGACGAGGTTTTAATTGAGCCCACCTTTGGAACGGCCTTGGCCCATGAGCAAGCAGCGGCGTTTTCACGGCCTCCTGGGGTCAGCTTTGCAACTAGGCCGTGTGTGAGATTCAACTCATGCGGTCTGAGGTGCCCAGGAAAGGTGAAAACCATGCCAAGTATACAGCTTTTTAAGTTTAGATAAATCAAACTTTGGCTTAGAAAATAAAGCTTCCTCCTTTAATTCTTTGGCCATCTTCACCGATCGATTTGGTGTTTGGCCAACAAAATACAGATTGGTTAACGTGCATGCTTTTGGTGATATATTTCCTCAGTGCAACTTAGGGTTCTATGGTACTTATATAGTCTGTAAAATTTACTGAAAATTTTGAAGCAAAATAATGTCTCAATTAGTATGTTGTATATAAGATGTACTTAAAGCATGCAATTAAATCAACGTTGGTGGAATTAAGAACATGTTTAAGGACTTTAATCTGCATCACCGTTGGGAAGAAAACAAACAAAATCCATCTTAATAACTCATAATTAAAGTCAACGTTGGTGGGAAATTAATTGTGAGCAATCTCGATTAAACTTCTCGTTTGTTCCATTTAACTAGAGACCATCTTATTATACAGTGGTGGATATATGTGTAAGTATAAAGAATTATAATTAAATGCAAATTCATGCAAAACTTAATCTTAGAGCATCAATTAGAACATAAAATGCTCATGAAAGCATAAATTTAATGCTGGAACTAAAAGTTAGATCTCAAACTTAAAACTTGTTTAAACAGTGCATAAAGATAACTAAGAAATCGCACTAAATTTTTTACTAAAACTTAAATATCCTTAGCAAAAATATTCCCAAACATACTTAAAAAAAGTAACTTATATCATAAAAAAGACAAATTAAACTTTATATGAAATGGGGATATGCACCATTATGTGGGTCGTAAACTTCTTTGCAATAAGGCACTAATTAATTCACTGATGCTAATGGTAAAAGCAAACTTAAATCTGAATGAAAAGCATAATTGGGATCAGAATATAGCCCACTGCAGACAGAAAGAAACTTATAGCCAACTCTTGCAGCAGAAATAGTGCATGGTTGGCCAAACTTATCGTGTGGCATGCCTCTGAGCAACAATTGAAAACTCAATTTAAAGTAAATTACTAAGAGCTCTTTTACAGTGGTTGGGGGTATTTCTTAGTTCCTCTTAGTTCCTAAACAATTAATTAGCGCTAATTAATTTTATGAGTGGAAGGTTAATCTGGTAATTGCGGCTCCCCTCCCCGCTACCCCTCCCCTTGCGCGACCGAACCCATGACGCCACGCCCACCTTTTTGAAGGGGCATAGCGATTCAGTGATTAGTGGCCAGGCTTCCTTGCCCTCGGCCTTAGCTGCGGCCGCCTAGCCCTCGACCTCGCCATCGCGTGGCGCCGCCGCCACCGGCCTGCCCTCGCCACCACGGTCGCTCCTCCCTCCTCCCCGGCACCCCTCGCCCACAGCGCACTGCCCGCCCGCCAAGGCGCTCCTCTCCACGCTCCACAACTACAAAGGCGGCCTTTACCGCGACGACTTCCTCTATCTATGCGCCGCCGCCGCCGCCAGGGCGTGAGGTTGCGCTGGCGAAGACCTAGCCGGCGTCGTCCTCGCCATTGCTTCGGGACGCCATCGATTAAGCGCAGCGTCGTCCGAGATCGATCGAAACACGCCCTGCCAGCGCTTCTGCCTCGGTTCAGTTTGGCGAACCTCGTCGTGCCGCCCGCTGCTCGGCTCGTCGTGCTCTCACACCGACGCGATCGATTTGAAGGTCACGCACATCCGTTGCTCCTCATTACGCCCTAGCTTGCGTGTCGTGGTCGCCTCGTGATCTAATGCTACGTATTATGCTTGCATCTTTTGGGCTCCTGTCTCTTCTTTGAATCCATGTCTTATATTTGTAATCTTGCCGTTACCGTGAATCCTTGCAGCAAAGCAAATATTGGCGCACAAGCAATACTCAGATCCAGGCGATTGCAATTTTGATTTGGGTAGCCACTCGGTGTTCCTCATAGGTTCTTTGTGTTGCGCCGGATCAAAATTGGCGGATCGGTTTGCCTTGTGTTAGATAGTTTACTCAATGTGTTAGTGGGGTCCCAAAAGTGCCAAATCGAAATTGACCGGATCGATTTGCCTTGTGTTAGATAGTTTACTCAATATGTTAGTGAAGTCCCAATCGATCTAGTCTATACTTTAGTAACCTACTCCGATCATATTAGTTAGTTGTTTTGTTGTGAGTGCCACCTTGGCAACCTGCATTTTGGATTCCAATTTTATTTTTAGTTCTCGCTATTAACGACTGAATACCCACCTTATAAAGTAAGTAATGCTTCTCAAAATCTCATTCCATCCTTTGTTTTAGTACATGGTTGTCTCACACTCTCTTATATTGCTTTATACTACTATTTCTTATGGGGAAATAGTTTTGAATTATGGCCTCACTATTCTCTATTTTGCTGTCAGTTCACGGGAGGTGCTCTTTGTAATCCCAGTAACTGAGGTATGCACCAGTTTGAACTTTAGCTCTGATAACCTACCTGTCCCAATTAATATATGGACCTTCCTCCTATTTCTCTTCTACTAAACAGCAGCCAGATTGGCACACACCATCATCCTTTCAATCGGTTGGTGCTCATGCTGAATACTTGATAAACAATTTTAAAATCAACTTTTTAGTTGTAAATCTTCAGTTCCTACTATTTATTTGGCATATAAAGTCACACAGCACAGCTCATACCTGCCAGTATTTCCTGTGAACTATATATAGTGTCTTCATAGGCCATTGAAATTTCTTGTTCCACAAAAAACGTTTATGTTGGATCAACATAATAGTCCTTCAATATTATATCATCAAAAATTCTTTTTCAGGACTATTACAGCATGATCACACTCAAAAGTTTCATAAATATTTAAACTGATACCATTTTATTTGATTTTCCTATTTGGATTAGGTACGAGATTGGATGGACTGACTGCTTGTGTTTTTAGAGTTCTATCGCCATCGGTCTACATATAATCTGCATACTTATTGTGAGTATCTACGATAATTAACCTCCCAGTCCACAAACTGATTGTAGCTGCCCACTGAAGCTCTTTGTTTTCCACATTTAAATTATTGATTTTTGCCTTTCAAAGTTGTGTTCAATACTTAGTGCTACATTGATAGTGTGGCTATATTTACAACTTCAATGGTTTTGTATTATGCACTTATGTTATTGTTTTCCCTTTAAATTTTGAGGCCCTAGACTAAGCTGATCAGCCTACTTCTACTGTCACAATATAATACTGCAAAACCATATCAACTTCTACCTACTTGCTTCTAAAAAATCTACTTGCTCAAAGAAGCAAACAAGAAGATAGACTCAGATTACCATCATCATCAAATATAATATTGCTAGCTTAGACGTTATTACGCCTAAACTTCTTTGGAAGAAAACTGTTTTTGCACATCTCTTTTCTTGTTGGAATTTACTGTTCCCTATTGCATAATATACAAGCATCAGTACAGGAGGAAATGTCAGATCTTGAGTCTTTGCTAGAGTACAATGAAATTGTCAAGAAGTTGTTTGCTACTGAAGAAGAAGAAGGATTTCAATTCTATAACAACTACGGTTTGAGAAAGTTTAGTGTGAGGAGAAGCTATTGTGAGTGGGACAATGGCCACAATGAGATGACTCTTCGGAAGTTCGTTTGCAGTCGTCAAGGTTTCCGTGAAGAGAAGCAACTGAAGAGGGCGATTAAAAAGCGGAAGCCGCGGAATATTACCCGTGTTGGATGTCTTGCTAAATTTGTGATTGCACGAGATCAGACCACAGGGCAGTGGTATGTGAAGGATTTCATCGATGAACACAACCATCCGATGGCGCCAGCAGAGCTTACTTGTCTGCTACGTTCACATAGAAGAATTAGCGATGAGCAGAAAGCTGAGATTGCGGAGATGGAGAGTTCTGGGATCCGCAAACACAAGATAATAGATATTTTGGAAATGCAGTATGGTGGGTATGATAAGATTGAGTGTACAACAAGGGACTTGTATAATTTCTGCCATCTCGCTATAGGCGGAGACAATTGTTGCCGTGGCGCTCAAACAGTCATCAGTTACCCATGCTGCTGGTTACTAATACTACTGGCAGGCGAGGGAGACACAGATCCTGGACCGGCCTAAACAAAACACAACATGGCTTTTTTAAATCTGTCAACGAACTGCTACAAAATAATGTTGCCCGTGTCATGCAGGGCCTCCTCTACAGTTAGCTTTAGCTTCACCACATCATGAAGCTACACTATGCTCTACGGACTGGACCGCCTGGACGGCCTTTCATCAGAAGTTGCACAAGTGCATCTGATCTCCCGGTTGGCACCCTGGATCTAGATGATGACCTGCATCTTTCTTCCTGTAATCACCACCAACCGCGGCCCAAGTCAACAAGCAAACCCGACCTATATGCATTCCAAAACTTCTGCTGCCATTTTCAGAATACATGCCTGAGATTCAGGATGCTTCTCTTCTATTCAAAGATCCAACAAAATCGTCACAAAAATTGCATCAGAGAAAGAAATCATTCAAAAAAGATTAAAAACTCTTCACCTCTTATATTAATATATTTGAATATCCTTATCCTTGCTCAACTCTTACGTTTCTTCTTCACTTTGCCCTATGGTAGCTGTCTTGCTACTAGTAGTGCACTGTGGAGATAGCCTGGTTTTTCAGTGTTCAGGCACAGAAGTGCATCATCTTCTGCAGAAAAAATAAAGTATACCCCTGATGATCTTTTGCCTAGTAAAATTCATGAAAACTCAATCAAACAGGTTATCCTTATGAAAGATTTAATCATCTTTTAAGAGGAGTCCAGTCTCTACAGAACAAAAATACAATTCCTAACTTCCTGCAGATTACCATATAAAATTATTTAGAAAAAATGAAAGTATAGAAATATGAGATACCTGTCAAGCTTTGATCTGAATAGCTAGATGCAGGCATTGCACCACCAGTGTGTGCAGGTACTGACACAGTAAAACTTTCAGATCTATCCAATTCCTTACGAAACACTTGTAACTCTACCTAAAAGAACAGGAAAAGGTAAAGATAATATGTTACTATTATTTCCAATGTATATTTGGTCTAGTGAACTCTAATGAAAATTCTTGCCACAACCCACAAGTGCTAATAGCAAAACAATAGCAATAAAGCCTACTATCCAAGCACGCTGGGTAGGCTGTTACTGGTAAAAAAACACTACATATGCATTTAGAAAGAGGAGCAACCTTGGTAACTCTTTTTTTCTATGTCAAACTTTGAACAAAAAAACATTAAGATGGCATGACTTCTCTGGCTAAAAAGGATTGTAATGCATATCAGTAAAAGCATTAAGATACTCAATTTCAAATATTGATACAATTCATGTGTATCTCATAGGTTAACAGATTCTTCTGTTTGGTCTGATTTGCTTAAAGTCAAGGATATCTATCTGATGGGTACCGACATCTGTATGAAAAAATGAAACCTCACTAGATTCTGGAAGGATAGATGGCTTTATCAACAACCTCTTTGTTTGACAGAGCCAGAGCTTTTTGAACTATGTGAGAGGGTTCAAAGTACTAAGTGGGCTCGACTTTCGTCACAGGCTAACATCACTTCGAGATGACCAAGCCAATCAAGCTCAGATCAATAAGAAATTGCAGGTTCAGATCAATAAGAAATTGCAGGTTTAATGCAGTGATTGCTAGACAAAACGTGCCAGTAACTCCTATATTTAGTGAACATTTGGCTCATGAAGTGAAATGTAGAACAAAATCAGCAATTCTATACAAATTCAACAATCCAGGAATACTTACAACGTGATAACTTAAGAACTAGGGAATCGGTGTATGTACCGTGCATGGGGAGAGGTTGCTGTTGTTGTGGACTGACAGTCTCCTTCACAGCCATGAAGCCACAGCAGACCTCGCCGTCCTGGAGGCAGCTTCACGGATCTTAGCCTGGTTCTGCAGGTCCTCCACCCTCCCTCTTGCATCCAGTGGAGTAGTCCCGAGGCGGTACTCCTTGTACCCCGGGAGGCGACCCACCAAAGGCCATGGTTGAGTGACGGAAGCAACCAATCGGTGAAGGCGAAGAGGAGCAGGATGAGGAGGAAGAACCAGAGAGAGGAGGCGAGGCAGAGTGCCCCGTGAGGTCCGATGAGGAGAGAGCACGAGGAGAGCACCCCAGCGCGATCACGGGCAGCTCCAGAACCCCAGCCCCAACAACGTGAGCCCACGGGACCGTGGACGCGCGCGGTCCCGGATCGCCTCCTCCACCCGTCTTTATGGCCGATTTGAGCAACCTCGGACGCCGCGACGCGCACCTACGCCGCCTCGCACCCTCCCGGCTGGGTCACGCCCTGCCTGGCGGATCTACGCCTCCTCCACCGCCTTTCCGGATCTACGGCAGTGCCGCATGTTCACGGAGGCTGGTGAGAAGCCCATGATGCTCGCGCCGTCCGCCCTGCCTCGGAAGTCGGCCATGCGCCAGCCTGCACACCTCGCCTCGCCCTAGCCCAACGCATACCACAAAGACACACGAATGAAGAACAAACATATCAAGAGAGAGTGGCTAAGGTTGAATTCGAGAAATAAACATTTTACAAACTATACTACTTCAATTATTCATATACTACTCAAAAGATTATTTTACTATTATAAATTTACTATTCTACCCTTAATTACATAAAACAATTTGAAAATAGAATTATCCTCTTTTCTTAAGAGCTGATCCCACCAATTTTAGTATGCACTTAGTGCATATGGTCCCACCATTTAGTATGCACTTTGTGCCTATCTAGTGGTTCCTCTTGGTTCCTCTGTCTTTTTAGGTTATGGATCGGCCCTGCATGGAGCCATCCATTTCCCACAACCATTGTAAAAATTCTCAAATTACTAATCTGATGAACTTGATTATATAGGAATCATAAAACTCAATTTAGCCATTAATCAACTCAACGGAACAACCCAAAACAAATTGCAGCACAGCAGGCCACACTTGCTCATGGCGTGAGCATTGTCTACGCGTTTCTTCACTTAAAGCCCAATAGCTTGTAAAAGGAAAACCCCTAATGCCAAACGATCTCAACTCGATCTTAAACCGATGGCTTCTGATTCATCTGACTCATATAAAATATTAGATAAAAACCACGTGGCCCTCACTCATCTCACTTTACGAATTTTTTGTTTTTAGCCATTTTTTGAAAAAATTCACAACATACCACCTGAGGTATGATTTCAAAATCTGGACCTTAGCTCTGGCACCATCGTTGTTGGCGCCTGAAGAGCTTACACTATCGCCGCCATAGATTTTGGCACCTGGGTCTTGGGCTCGGCGTGGACATGGCGGTGACTTGGCGACCAGACTTGGCGCCAGTAGATCCTCATGACCAGCTTGGCGCCCGTAGATCTTGGCGTCGAGCTTGGCCATCTGTGGTTATTGGCGTCGAGCGGCGCCAAAGATCTATGGCGCCGAGTGGTGTTTTAACCCATTAACCTTCTCCTGCCGAGCCTTCTTCCTCTTCTTTCCTCCTCCGTCTGGGTTTTTCTCTCCCACTTCACCCTACCTCACCGAATTGGCATATTGGACCTTGTGAAACTTTGATTTGATCCATAGATCTTCGAGAGCAAGGTATCCTCGCTCCCCTCCTAGTATTTTTCACATTAATTCGGTATATATTAGTTTGGATTTTCAACTTAAGAATCGTCATTACTTAGGGTTTCATGTAATTTTAATATTTATATTATACAATGGTAGGATGCCAAAGGCGTGGAAAAGCTAGCAAACCAAGGTAACCTCATAGACGTTGTTATGTTATGGGTTCATTGTTGTCAGATCAAATAAAACCTAGGTGTAGGGTTTAATGTTAATTGATTTTAGTTCTTAGAACGAAAATGGCTAAATTATGTAGTTATGGCAGAGATGATCGGAAATACCTTGACCCATTGCCTCTGTCTAGTGGTATTCCATTGCCCATGTGCTTTAAGTATACTGGTGATCCATGCAAAGGTAGCCAAGTCAGGATGAAGAAAGACACATATAAATGGAGGTATTGGATGTGTTCCAATTTTATGTTTGAGCCTACACTTCATCATTGTTTGCATTAACAAGATGGTGAGGAATTGATGTTTGTGTGGGACGACATCTTGCATGATTTTTTGTTTTATAACAAATTGCATTTTTATAGACCCCTCCACCGCTCGTATGATTTTGAAAGCGGTTGGATCGAAACCTTTGAATCAAGCTTTGAAGACAAGGAATGGATCTTGCGAGAAACTATTCTTGGGATGGGAGGCGGAGGACAAGGAGATGATGGAAAAAGAGATGCGGAGAGGAGGCTGCAAAAAGCACATAGTGAAGAGGGAGGAAGGAGGCGGCGTTAGCTGCGTCGGAGAGAGAGGAGAAGAAGCTTGAGCATGCATGTTAGGCCAAAGCGGCTGATGGAGGAGAATCTCGATGCTACAGAGAGAAGGGAAAGTGGTCTCGGTTGCACTCGGTGATCTCCATTACTTGCTAGTTCTATAGTTTATTCATAGACAACAATGTTGTCTATTGTTGAACTTTTCATTGTGTTGTCATCATAATGCACTTTAAGTATAAAGGCATGCTTAGGTCATATCTGCGCTATTTAGTTTTGTGATACGCATTACTTCTAGTATTATTGTGTTGTTTAATGTGTCATAGTATTGGACTTTTCATTACATAGTTGTTTTCACGTTATTTGTGGTCATAATATTGAGTTTTAATATTGCGGACGTGGTGAAATGTGATCGTGCTTCCAAACAAAACCTAGCAGTAGGGCATTATATAATTCAACACAAAACACATAAAAATGGCATATGAGAACATGTATGAACTAGAATGCTGAGGTTCACGAACTAAACCCTAACATGCCTTATGTGAATTGAAGCAAACAACAAGCACAAGAAATGGCATGTGAGAACATGTACCAACAACAATTTACATAGTTCACTGACTAAACCTAACATACCTTAGGTAATTAACCAAAACAACAAACACATGAATGTGTCATGTAGATAAGATAGGAGTCATCCTAGTGAGTGTGGCCACATAACCAAATTATGTTGCACCTTCTCCTGATGTAACTTCCCATTGTTGGTGATGGTGGTGGTGGTGAGGAGTGA